GACCCCCCCCAAAAAAAAAGTCGTGGACCTACAAGAATTTAATTCATAAGTAGCTTTAAAAATATTTACAAAGTTGATGTGTCCGTAAATAATTCTGGAATTAAGAGTAGATGTCACTTACTTAAAGATGACCAAACCATCGTTTTGTAATATTACTGTTAGAATCTTAAGCATAAAGTATCAATGTACATCTTAAAATATAACATAATGTGATAAGGATAACATTTTACATATCTCTTTGTAAATGATGTCTATCTGTTATCGGTAAATGATGGTAGTCTCTAGTCTCTCCAAATTAAAACTGTTGATCACAGATAAAACCGATTTATTTTAAATATAGACAACAGCTCGTTCGAAAAGACACCAGAAAGTTTCACTTCCGAGACCTTTTCTTACCCAACGGTAGACAACAGCTCGTTCGAAAAGACACCAGAAAGTTTCACTTCCGAGACCTTTTCTTAGCCAACGGTAGACAACAACAACAAAAAAAATGCTGTACCAATCAGAGACTGGGACAAGAAATAAGAAGTATTTCCACATTACAATAGAATTAAAATAAGTAAGATTTGTAAACAGACTCCCCATATAGATACAGGGTATAAATATAGCAGCTATATATATTTTACAAGAAGATACATAACATGTGGTATGTTGATCACCGTATATCATAGTGATCATACATAAAGTACCATTATCAATGATAACATTGTAGCAATGATATCAGGAGCAATAGCCATCCAACCTATATGAAGCCAATCCAAAGGTTGTCGTTGTTTCTTGAGAGACCATCATACATTAAGTACGTATTTCATTAAACTAAACTGTTTCAAATAGGACAGTATTACTATTATACAGATTTACGTCCATGATGGACGTAGAAAAAATTATGAAATAAGATTGTTAATAATTGTTAATTTAAAAGGGGAATAGGGATCGTAAGAAAAATACAGAAACAAGATAGGTAGCTTAAAGTTAAAAGAAAAACTAAAGAACTGACGAAAATATCTAGATAATTTAGCTTGTTACACGCAAGATGTATAAGGGATCCTTCAGTTATTAGTGAAATAAATTGTATTAATGATGGGATTTTTTTATTAAAATCTTAGTTACTCGTACATTAAGAACACTGTAAGTAAGAAAAGCATGAACACACAAGTAATTGTGTGCATAAATTGTTGTTGAAAATGTGCTTAAAAGGCCGAGGGGAACAGGAGTGCATTTGCAAGTTAAATGATGGGTTAAGTTAAGCTTCGAGTAAAAATATAAAGGTCAAGTTCGAGGCCCAAAATCAAAGAAACATTCTTTAATTGTTAAAAACTGCAAATAGCGTATCTTATGAAGCATAATAACAATTAATCAATAATTGCATCTATTCAAGCCACTTACGTAAATTAAAATGGACAGGAACAGCTGAAATCAACAAACTGCAGCCTACGAGACTAAGTAAAGTAGTGAGAGGTTCGAAACGTTTCATCTTTGACGGTAGCTTGTGGCTGAAATATTTGAACACAATTCGGTCTGCTTTCTTGTTTTCAACCAGTTCCTTCTATTTATAAACATCTCCACCTGTGGTACAACCAGACACTGTGGTGGCAACTTCCCACAGCTGGTTCGTCATGTGTTTTGAAATAAAAAAGAAGTTACTAAGAAGTGTCAATGTTTCATCATAAAATATTCAGTTATTTGATACTGTATTTGTCAGAAGCTGGCTTGTAGATTATTTTCTGTCTTTGTTAATCTTTCATGTTAATCTATATAATCCTAGAACGAGAGTGTGAAAAAACATTTGTTTACTGCTCACGAGATCGCTTAGGTTTGTTACGTCTCCGTTCGTTAATTAACTTTCCGTAACTTCGTTCCGACGAAACTTTAGCGACACAAATCCTTTCTTAATAAAACTGATTTATTCTTTCCGAATACAACTTTACGATACACTTATTTTCAACAATCACGCTAAAACAAACGCTATATCAACGAACGTCAACAATACTTCTGACTGCAGTTCAATTACTCACTATCTACACACACGTTATTCTTCTCTCGTCACGTTGTCACCCTCTTTTATATACCAGACTACCCTATATCTAGTAAATACTAGAGCATTCGCCAAGGTACAGGATAGTTCTAGAAAATAGGTGGCGCCACACCAGTCACGTGACCTCGATGACACAACAGGTTTTTACTTTCACAACCTTTTGTTTGAGATTATTATATATATTTTGTTGCTACGGTTAACTTATTAAAAACGTGGAGTCTATTTGAAATAAGGGTTTCCGTTTCGATATGGAGGAAATGTAAACAGAAGGATTTTGTAAACACTGGATTGGAGGGACTACTGAACTATACTGGGAATTGTGTATCTTTGTGCTTAATAACAAACAAAGAAAGCTATACATCTCACTATGAGAATGATTAACAGTTTTTTGTTTTGTTTTATTAAGCATAAGTACATTTTTTCTCAGCACAGCCAAGTTCTATTTCACAGAAGGTGGCGTTTCCGAGTGAACAAGATTCTTGTAGAAATTTTCTCGCAAAGCTACACAAAACAAGGGATTATGTACTCATAGCCTTATTAATTTTTGAACTGATAACTTACAGGGAAAGTAGTAAGCAGCACCCTCCACCAACTCTTGGGCTACCTTTGTCTGATCGAATAGTGTGAGTTTATAATACCCCATGCCCCCCAAAGTGAAAACACATTTTATGTGACAAGGAGACGCGAACCATGAACCTCTTAAGTGACTCGTCTTTCACTCTTATAACGCATCCACAGCTCCAAAGTGGAGGGGAGCAATTTTTTGGGGGCAACGGGACGCAAATCCTGAATCATCAGAATCACTGCTCTGGCACTTAACCATACTTTTGCGCTAACATCTGAAACGAACAATCAAACATAAGATAAATATATATATAATAATATTTATGTTTCCTTTTCAATTAAAAAAAAAAACACCAAAGTTCTTAACGGTCTCTCAAACCAACCGCTTCATCGACATCATCAGTTCCATTATCTAGGTAGTCATAACTGTCTTCATAATCATCTTCAGATGTACTGTCACTATCTTCAAAATGTTCTTCGTTCTTTTCATCCGTCAGGAAACCTTTCAAGTTATCTGCGAAGACAAATTCGTACCCAGGATCGCCGTTTCCTTCCTCGTCTATGACGGGAAGTCTGTCTTCAAGTGTTTGTTTCTTACGTAGACTGTCCCCCTGAATAGCTTTAAAACACGTAACATAACATTAGACATTCAACTTATTTTGCTTGGCAACGTAATTCGATTAATAATAGTAAAAAGAGTAAATAGAATCTTTAGAATGCTACAAGCTCTAAGAATCTGTGGAAAAATGATTATATTTTTAAAGATAATTTCTATAATACTGTTCATACTTATCTATCTACACATATGCTTTTATCTCTGAGACAAAGAAACTTCCACCAGTAGTATTATCAAGCGTTATTAAATTTTCTAATCATACAATATAAGTATTGAGGTTTCATCCGATTATGAGCTTTTAAGCCTTCAGACTTACCGCTGAGCCACTGGGGAGGTGGGAAGGAGGACTAGATGCTGGGGTTCAGAAATGAAGAAACTTTGGCGACACATCGTTTATAACATGCACTCAATATTATTTACCATTTGATTCGTGATTTATATTTAATTTTCTTCAGTAATTTGAGATTTATTATCTAATTAAGAAACGTATTCATTCCGCCATCACATACCTTTCAGCTGATGGTTTACCTCCAAGAGAGGCTTATTGGCCGTACAACGTTTACATTGTCCTGTTTGTTTCGATTTGGTTTTAGTGTGTTTGTTTGTTTTAGAACAAAGACACATTAGGTTATCTGCTATGTCTATCGCATGGAATCGAACCCCGGACTTTAGCGTTATATATACGTAGATTTACCATTGTCCCACCAGGGGGCCTATTTGCTTCGAATAATCTTTATGTGTAAAAGTGTTCTCAAGATACTTTAACTGTCTCTTGGGATTTAAGATTACGGATATGTGTTCTGATGCTATGTTCAAAGGCTTCAATAACTGTATAACTATATTGACATTTTGATAAAACGAGGTTTGCGGTAATGCCTATGCATTAATGAAATTAACAAGTCAACCTGTCAAAAAGAATACTATATCGTGTTATGAGCCATTGTTTCAAACATATAATGAACCAGAACAAAATAAAATATACCACAAACAATTAATGGTAAATGACAAACAAATGTTTGTAGTAGTCACAACGTTTCTGGTTGCAACACACGTTTTTTGGTGTGTTTTTTCTTGTGATTTTAGACTAAAGAAAAACGTTGTGAAAATTAAAAACATCTGTTTTATCATTTACTATTTGTTTGCGGAATAAGCTTTTTTTTTTCCTTTTTAGATTTCAATTTATCTGTACCATAGAGGTATCTCAGTTACTTATACAAAAGGGGGGTTTACAATAACTTCTCTTTAACAAACACTATTGTTTTTGTAACAAACAATGATCAAAATACAAAACAAAAGCGACAAGAAGTACTTTTGTTAAAAATCAACGTTAAAACAGATCTTCGCCCAACAGGCACAGATTACACTAGCTAGCAGACAGAAGGGCTTTCACGTTGTAAAAATAAAATAATGACGACATACTTTTGCAATTCCAGACATTCGCAGCTGGTGCTAGATGTACATTATTATTTTATTACAGCTAACATGATCCGATAGCGCTATGTTACGCCAATTCCACTTGTCCTGCACGTGCCCTTCTGTTGCCATGGGAATCTTTACATAACCTGTCTAGGATTGGCTAACTAGAGCAGGCCAAAACATTGTTCAGTCACACTCAACTGCCAATATTTTCGCCTAAAAGATACTCAGCAAAAGATAAATATAGGTGATATTAAGAGAAGTAGATAAATATTTCAAATACTATTTTTAGGCTTTTGAAGAAGATAGTAGCATACAAGTTAATATGTCACATAAAGTGTGTGTGTGGGTTTTATAGCAAAGCCACTTCGGGCTTTCTGCTCTGTCCATCGAGGGAAATCGAACCCTGATTTTAACGCTGTAAATCCGTAGACTTATCACTGTCCCACCGGAGGACTTTACATATGTCAACAGTTTAAGTAACCTAGTATTATTTTAAACAGCCACAGCACGTAGATGGCAAATATACCACTTGATAACAAAACAAAAAGCTCAGAAGAAACAAAATTAAACTTGTTGTAGAATTGGCTGAAGTTATAATAATTGCAAAATATCACATGCTATATTTACATATATTAACGTGGAAAGATTCTGGCCCATTAATACATCAAACTTCCTAAGCCTTCTACGACTCCAAGGAAAATGTTATTTTTGGAGGAAAAATTAAATAAGTGGCGGTGCTATATTGGGGGGGGAGGGGGATCTGGATCACTTTGGTTGTATCTAAGGCTGTTTTTTACCTCTTATAAATATGTTTTATACATATATTGGTGTAATTTAGGGTGCCATCTTGTTTAACAAGCGTCGAGTACAAAGGCAACCGCTCATAACAGCATCGCATCTATTTTGTATTTATAACCACATTAGTCAACTTTCATTGAAAAATAATCAACTTTTAAATAGTTCATGGACATTCGTAGCATTTCATATAGCATATCTTTCTAGGTTTTGGTGCAAAATCCCCAGCCGATTTTGCTGTAGTCTTCTAAAACAATAATATGAATGATAATAATATAAACAAATGGGTAAATTTTAATTTTGTCTAACAATCGTGAAAGCACATATTTTGCTTATTATCAGTATTTGGATGGTCTGAAAAGAAAACTTTTGAAAGTTGTTTCGAGAATATGTTTGCTTTTTTTAAAATGGGTTTTGCCCGAATGTTGTATTAGAGTTTTGAGCAAATTACTGTGCGATCCCTATTGTGAACCACTATCGTGGTTAATGATAAAATAATAGAAGTTCTAAAAAAATAACCCTAAACCACAGTGTTGACAAATTGGCGGGTAACAATCTGCTACTTTATAGACAAAAAATTAACGCTATGCTTAAGGTGTTTTAAGTATTTGTGATCACTATGTCCTGGTTTGTTACGTCTACGTGTGTAAAAACGTGCACAAGTATACACGTACAGTTATTTTCTCCAGATGTTGAAGGTCAGTGTAACTTCTACACTTGTAACGAGAAAGCCTATTTCTTCTGCTCTCTCTGTTCAAGCATACTTGGTAAGTTTGTTTGTTCCAGAATAGCTATTACACGTTGTTGCCCCTAAGCTTGAACTGATAGACTATAAAGGTGGCTACTAGTTAACCAATTCTAGAGATACTCTTGTCTGATACAATACTAGCATTGACAATAATTATTGGTGTAGCGCACCCTCGGTCCGATAGTGTATCTTTTTGTTGTTGTTGTTGTTGATTTTGCTGCAACGGATCACGAACCATAAATCCTCGGATTCAAAATCAAACATGTTAACCAGTAGGCCACGAATAGGATAAGAAGAAAAGCATAGTTTAGTTGAAATATCAGAAAAGTAGATTGAAATAAATAAAATACCTTACTTACAATCCATTTAAGGACTTCATGAACTACAGTAGTAGTTCATAAAAGAGATCGCTCATTTGTTCTTCTTTATTATTATTTAACTAGCTGGAGTACCCGTCCCCAAGACGGAAGTTATATATATCAATGATTAATGAAAGGTTATCTTAGGACATGAAAAGTTGCTCATAAATGCCCATAACAACTGCAAAACATGAAATGTGAAACTGTAACTTTGCATGTTTCTCCTTATGGACCTAACAATCCTTCATGACAAATTTGGTGAAGGTCCATCTACAGGGGGTGAAGTAGTGGTAAAAAACGCAAAAACGCCTATAAAAACTGCAAAACGCAAAATGCAAAACTGAAAATTTGTATGTACCCTTGCATCAACCTAATAAAACTCCATACCAATTTTGGTGAAGGTTCATCCACACCCTGCGGAGCAGTTACATGGAGATACAACAAACAACAAACAGTACTATTATATTTATATAGATATTGTTCCACGAGCGTCGGCCCGGCATGGCCAGGTACTTAGGGCACTTGACTCGCAATCTGCGGGTCGCGGGTTCGAATCCCTGTCACACCAAACATGCTCGCCCTTTCAGCCGTGGGGTGGTTATAATGTGACGGTCAATCCCACTATTCGTTGGTAAAGGAGTAACCCAAGAGTTGGCGGTGGGTGGTGATGACTATCTGTCTTCCCTCTAGTCTTACACTGCTAAATTAGGGACGGCTAGAGCAGATAGCCCTCGTGTAGCTTTGCACAAAATTCATAACAAACAAATAACCACCAGCCTACATTAAAAAATAGCTGTGAGTATTGTAATAATACCTGGGCAACATTACTAAACGCATCATTTCGCATTGTGTGGGGTAGTTTTTAAGTTTATTTGACTACCTAGCAAATAACAACGACTGTTTAACCGTTGACACCCTATCATTTTCATGTAGTCTGTGGTTTATATGGAGCCTCATAATCTAATATATGCATACTTATATAGCTGCGTGCAGGCCGTGGATGTAATTTAATTTTTATATGGCAGACATGACACATGTACCATAGCAATTATTAACTTATTGTTGCAACTGTATTGGTGTCGTGTATCATTTGTTTATATATAGGATTCCTGCCCTTTCAGACACGACACTGCTGACAGGATCACAGTTTGTTTGTTTTTAGCACTGCGTGAACGATTTCGGCCATGTTACAAAAACGTTATACAAACGTCTAGGTTGTCTCTCACAACAGAAATCTTTAAGCTGTAGTTTAAAAGATAGCACGAAGCTCAGTTTCGAGCACTGGGTCGGCATTCACAGTAATGACTGATGGTAAGTGTTGAATTATAGCCAACACTGGGTAATTGCGAATTTTATATACACTGCAGATAGAGTAGCCATCCTTGAAGCTGACTGGAACGAATGGCAAGAATCGTGAACGTAGGAGATGACGATTTTAGGCAAAATTGAGACAGACATTTTGTAGCTATATATTTTACTTAAAGTATGCAGCAACGACAACCAACCAGAGTTTAGGGTTGTCACAGTGGAAGAGGATCGTAGAAGTGTCATGACCCAAAAATAGAGGGGGGGGGAGTGTATTAATATAATCAACTCATAATTGTTAATCATCATATTTTAGGCCTTGTATAGTATGCAGAATGTCACTGTAAGAGGAAATCTGGCTAGCTGCAGCAAAACCATAACCGGCCTTACTATGACCAGCGGAGAGGAGGAAGAAGGAGGGGGAAACATGACAGCTATAAGAAATATCAAAAATACTTATGTGTATACATATCTTATTATATTATAACACACTGTACATTGAATATATATGCATGCATCTATACAACTTGGAAAATTTATACGGCTATATATATGTATACGGCTTTACAACTTAATACAAAACTATAAAGCCTGCATGTATATGTATATATATATATATATATAAAGATATAAATACTAGCCAATGTGCATTTAATGTGTATACATGTATAAAACTGATACAGTTACAAAACCCAGTCCTTGCACCATGGGCCATGTATGCTCTGCCTACCGT